GCATTCGTTGTCTATCCCTGCGCTCATCTGGAGCGTGATGAGGAAGCTCTATGATGATCACATTAGCAAGGAGAGGCCCAAAAGGGTTAAGTCTCTCCCATTTGGCCACTTCATCACCCAGATCTTGCTAGACCAACGCTATCCTTTCCATCCACGGGAGCACCTTGAGCGAGGATCCTGTCACTTCCTGAAGAAGGACTGGGATAAGAGCTACAACACTCTTATCAAGAGCCTTCAGGATGACGCGGCAGAGGCGGCAGATGACTTAGAGGCTGAGGAAGCAGCAGCAGCAGTAGACCCGGCAGCGGACGACATACCAGTCAATTCGGCTGCCGTACATATGGATATTGATTTGGAGCAACCTGCAGAGGACGTAGAGCAACACTCTCCAGTTGGGTCACCTATTCATGATACAAAACAGGCTCAGGATCATCATTCTCCCAATCCAGCCACACCTGAGGCTCTAGTACAAACACCCAGCTTTGGAGAGCGACTCCAGGCTTTGGAGGATACTATTGTATTCGTCCGCGCTGACACGGTCTCTCTCCGGGAGGATGCTATCTCCATCAGAGCTGATATTGCTACCCTCCGTACGGATGTCATGACCGCATTCAGGGATCTATCCAGAGACATTCGCGGAGCGCCACCTGCCCGTCCTACCTCTTCTTCCTGATCTCTCTATCCCTTTTCTCCTGTTATTTTATATATCAGTGATACCATCATATTTTTGATACTGTTATACTATTTTTGCAGCCGTGTCTATCGGCTTTGATACTGGATGTACTATACTTTATTTTTATTTATATATGTTTTTTATATGGATGTCATATTTTCATATTCTTATTGCTATCTGTTTGACTCCATCAGGTGCATTCCAGTGACTTCAGTGAGAGATAATACTGCCCTAAATTTTTAGGACCACCCTTTTACCTCTCTCTATTTTCAGTTATTATCCCATTTACACTTTCATGTCCACTGTGCACTGTTATTATCGCTTTTGTTATCTGATGAGTTTATCCGAGTACCGAATTTCAGGACCACAGTAAATCCAAAGTTTGGGGGGGCTATGCCACCCACTTTGGATACTTCAGTTCCAGCCATTATTTGCCTTAATTTCACTAGTATACTCTTTCCTTTTGTTCTCTTTGCACATTGAGAACACTGTGTCATTTAAGTTTGGGGGTAGTGGTGCTTTACAGTGTTTGTTTTTTAATGCAAAATTTTGAGTATGTCTTGTGTATTTGAGGGATTTTATATGATTGGTCCATGTTAACTATGATTTTGATCTTTTGAGGACTATATTGCTTAAAATTTAAAAATTGCATGACTTGAGAGTCCAATACTCCTTGTATGACTTGCGGATGCCATTTAAGAGTAAATTTTTTGAAAAATTGATATCTTGCTTGCACTTGTGGTCTACATCATCTTGATTTTGTAATTATTTTGAAATTCATTCTAGGATTCTACACTAACATAGGCGCACACTAGCATCATTTGTGGGGTACATGCTTTGTTGATTATTGAATTGGTTATATTCCAATTGAGCTAGTAGTGTATTGAAAGTTTTCATTCTTGATAAAGGTGGATAACAACCCCTTTTCACTAAGTAGCCGGGATTCTAGCCTCATCAGGTACTGAACTTCTCGCGTCGAAAGGTGGAGGGCCCAAACTTTAGGTTAATAACTTGAAAAAAAAAAAAAAAAAATAAAAATAAAAAGAAAGAAGAAGTTGCAAAAGTAATAAAAAAGTGAGGACTTCTCCCAAATGGTGAGAAGTGGGAAATGATTAGATGGATGTTGTTTTGATTTTGTAACCTAGTTGATTTGAGCTTGTAAGTCCGTAGGGGTGTTTAAACACATAATGCCCTAAAGCCGTCTGGTTTGGGAGTCATTGACCTAACGCTCGACCTCATAGATTGCTAAAAAGCTTAATAGATCAACACATTGCATTATGCTTCCATCTTTGATCCTATATAAAATAAATAAATAAATAAATAATAAATAAATAAAAATCGAGTGAAAAGAATAAGCGCACCTAGAACAGTAAAACTTTAATAAAAGGTCCACTTTTTGTCTTGATGACCGGTACTAGATTTGTGTACTAGTTTGAGGGTAAGGATGTGATTAATTCTTTAGTTGGCTTAGATAGCAACACACTTGATGCCGGTCCACTCAATAAGGATTTTAGAATTTTTTTAATTTGCATGATCATTTTCTTGATGTGTGGAGGACCATACTTGCTTGCTTGGTGTTGAAATTTTGAGAGATTGCTTGGAAAGGGTTGAAAAATTGCATACTTGAGATAGTTTTCTCCCAATACTTGTTTGCAATATTGGTGCCTTTCTTGAAAGAAAGAGCTTAATGTTTGTGGGTATCATTTCTGGAAACCCTCACGAGACTTCACTCGTCCACTAGGGGTAACCTAGGAGTTTAAAAGGTTTGTTGCATATGCTAAATGCAATCGTGTTCCCTACGAAAGTGGCGCTATCATTTTATTGTTTTCTAGTTCATAGTTGTATAGTTGTTCATTTCATTCCTTTACTTTATAGTTCATTGCTAGGGACTAGCAATATTTAAGTTTGGAGGTGTGATGAGCACTGAAAATTGCATATTTAAACCTCTTAACCTTAGGTATTATAGAACCTTTATCTATCTTATTTTACCGTTTTGTATTGATTTCGTATTATTTCCATTTTTAGGTACTTATCCCAAAAATAAGCTAACTCAGCCAAATAAGAGCATAATTGAAGCAATTCTGGGATGAATCAAAGAAATGAGCAAATAAGAGCAAAAAGGAAGCAATGGTGGAATTTCAGTAACTTCGATCGATCTCAAGAAAAGTTCGATTGATCCAACTTATATCGATCTAAGCACTTCAAGATGGATCTGAGCCATGTTTGTCCCTGTTCAAAGATCTCAAAAGTTCGATCGATCCAACTTCTTTCCTTGATCGATCAAACATTCTTGTCCTTATCCAAATGATTGATCTTATCCAGTTGCATCACCCTACCAACCACTTTTGTCCTTTTCCCAAAAATATCTTCAAAATATCTCAGATTTGTTTTTATCCAAAAAGGCATCGCCATTGAGGATCGATCTAGCCTAAGTTCGATAAATCTCAGCAATGTTTGATCGATCCAAGTCCAAGGTTCGATCGATCGAACTTCCTTTAATGCAAAAAAGTTAAATTTCTAGATCACAAAAGTTGCCCCTTATCCAATCATTGTGGAATATTTGTTGTATGACCCCAGCTCATTTTAGGTGTCATTTGACCTACCTATATAAGATAAGGATTACTTTTTGTGGGGAAGGGAGAAGATCATATTGTATCATATCATACCATACCTTAGAGAACTCTTAGGGAGGAAGAAAAGAAGAGGAGGAGGCTAGAGACACTATTGGAGACTCTTCATCAACCAATGAGCAGATTTCTTCCATAGAGCTTGCCCTTGAGGGTTGGAGGACATCCTCCATGAGTGGCTAGACATCCTCTTGGGGCTAGAGCTAGCCCTAAGTATGCTTTCTACTTCTTGATTTATGTATTTTTGAGGGGATTTGTATTGTGATTCATGGCTTGACACTTTTATAAATATAGATCTTATTTCTTCAATGATTTATATGGTTTAATGCTTCCAATTGATCATTTCATTTTATGCATATGTCTATGTATGCTAGAATAGATGTTCATGTGTTTGTCTCTATTTCTTGTGTTATTGATACATGTCTATGTGTGTTGATGCTATAGATATAGAGATTGTCAAGATATAGTGCTTAATATCATGTTCTTGTGATTTATTTGATGATTCATACTCATTTCTTGATGGATTGTGCCTCTCTCTTAGTTTAATTAGCTTAATTTCATGTCATTAGCTTAGTTGTAGTGTAGTTGTTAAATGGGAGAACAATCCATGCTTGTTATTGATGTTCCATACTTATGAAAAGCAAGTGACATGTGTCTCTAACCTTATGATGTGTTTGGATTGATAGCTTAAAGAAAGGATTAATAACTTAATTTGATATGTTGTGCTATTCACCATGTTATTTAGACAATATATGCTTAATTTTTCATCCATACTTATTGAAACAACCACACACACACACTTTATTGCAATACATGTTCTTCCCCTCATTAATCATTCATCAAAGGTGTACAAAAGTTATGCTTAGTGGTGATCTCTAAACCCCAAGATCTCCCTCTTTCTTTTATTCTCTCTATTGCATTATTATTTACTCTAGTTTAATTTGCATCTAGTTTAATTCGCATCTAGTTTAATTCAACCAACTAATAACCATTTTGATCACTCGACCTACTAACCCTAATCTTGATTCCTCAACCTAGTACGACACTCAATCCCTTGAGACGATTCCTACTCAACCTAACTATATAATTAGTAAAAGATAGTAGTGGCAATTTATAAATGTAAAACTTGACCACACATTGCATAAACTTTGGGTTTGAATCCACGACAGCACCAGTAGGTAAATTAATCAGTCACAAAAAAATTGTGCAAATTGACCAAATCACCTCATCTAAGTCGTTTAGAGTATTAATCAAAATTAACCAACTAACAGCTTAGGCGCGCAACTCACACTTTCAATTACGACAAAGAAAAAGCTTGGTCATTGTAAATAATGATTAACAATTGCAATTTAATTTTTTAATTGCAATTGTATATATATAACTAAATGAGCATTGATGAGGTCCATGATGGTGGTGATGCAATTGTACAAATAGAACTCTGAAAACTACAGCTACCTAATGCTTTATTTGTCTGATCATTTCAGAATTACACATAGAGTGCCATGAAAAGATTTCAAAATATATTTTGAGCCACCCTGATTAAAGTATTTCTTCCTATGTAGGACTGCAAGTCTGCTAAATGGCCTTGGTTTGGTTTGAACAATTCTATATCAATTCAATGATTCTCTCACATAAAGTTTGTGGGAAAGGACAAACATGAATAAATACATATGTATACAATGGAATAACAATTTCAATCACTAAGCATCTTCCTTACTCTTCTTGCGTTTCTTTTGTCTTTGAAACTCAATCTACAATGTGCAATCAACAAGATACACTAGTTAATTTCAGTGGTACTGTTGATGGAAATTGATCTTAGATATGGAAGCATGTTTAGTAGTGTAGAAATATATAGATGTGTGGATGAATATTTACCCAAAAAAAAATTAATGGATGAATATAAGTGATTTAGAGACAATCAAACAAGATTAGAAGATTATACCTTTAAAATAACCAAACTCCAAGATTAGAGAATCCTCCTTCCTCCCTTAAGTTTGAATTGCTCCTTCCTCCCTTTAGTTGTAGCACCTCCAAATATCAGCCACCCAAAAGCATTCACCGGCCTCTAGCTAAATCCCCATTAGGGATCTTTAAAACCTTTGATTTGTGGGAATCAATATATAGAGAAATAGTGTATGTATATTTCTCTCTCTCTCTATATATATATAGGAAGTGAGAGATAGGCTCTGTTGAATGTATTGATTGATGCCTTTAAGGTTTATACCATGCACCCTTCGTATAGAAAAGTCCATAGACTAGCCACAACACACTTACATGCAACTCCTGCGTACAACCTATACTGATTGGCCGAATTAAACAACCTATACCTCTGAAACTAACGCCTTCCCTTGTCACATTATGTAAAAATGAAACTATTGACCAACAACTTGTACCCCTACCACCCTGGGGGCGCCTGCAGAGTTGGTGGGAGGGGGGCCTTTAAGTGCTGAACCACCAAATTTAGTATTTGTGTGTGTGTTTGATTCTACCTCAGCGCCGTAAGTTCCTGGCTTATTTGTCACTCACGCTGTGAGATCGGGGTGGGTAATTAGGAGTTTATCTGGTAGTTACAAATCTAAAAAACGAATAATTATAAGGGTCCTCGCCTAATAAATAAATAAAAATAAAAATACCCCCAAGTACCTAATGCTTCTTTACCTTTCCACTGTGACAAATATATATATATATATATCAACATCGGATAAAATAGGACACGAAAACAATGATTAACAATTGCAATTGTATATATAAATATCAATTGAGTATTGACATGATGTCATCCATTATATAAAAATAAATCTATTGCCAACTAGTATCCGTACCAAGTAGGTAATAATTCTTCACCTTTGGAATATGAAAGATACCATTTCTAACAATTCATTTCACCTATGATATAGTTCCTTTTCAATTCGAGTTTACACAGTTTTGTTATCAGGCTTTACTCTAAAATATCTCATATCAACGGAAGATAACATCATTATATATAAGTATTTTTTTTTTTTTTTTTTACTCACACGATGTGAGATTGTGCATTCGTAGCCACCTAATGTGATAACCTGTCAGTGTCTCACACCCGCGCATGACATACTCGTCCACAAGATCGCCACACCGCCTAGGTTATACCAAACTGTCATACTCTAAAATTTTAAATACTAAAACCCTTATCTTGTATTAAAATTGGGCATGACTTGCATTACATATCCACCACTATCCAAAATAAATAAATAAATAACTAAATAGAGATAAGGTTTTAATACAAGATAAGAGTTTTTGTATTTAAAATTTTGGGGTGTGGTGAACGAGGAAGTTGGGTTCCAAAGGGGATGATTGTGACGACTTTGTATGCGGATGTACTGTGAACGGGTGCGAGGCACTGACAGGCTGTCATATTGGGCGAGTTACAGGTGTACAATCCCATATCGCTGGGTAAAAAAAAGGTGAAGTGCTTATATATAGTGGTGTTATCTCCAATTGGTATAAAGTCTTTTGGGATAAAATTCAATAACAAAATCGTACGAATCGAATTCAAAGCGAACAATATCATATGGTGAAGTGGACTGTTATAAATAATATTAGTCCTATTTAAAAGGTAAAGAAGTATTGGGTACTTGGTAGGGATAATAGTTGGTCAATAGATTTATTTTTATATAATGGATGGGATCATGTCAATGCTCATTGAGTTTTGTTTTATATATACATTTGCAATTGTTAATCATTATTTTCTGTGTCCTATTTCATCCTATGTTGAGATATATATATATATATATATATATATATATATATATATTTGTCACAGTCGGAATGTAGAGAATCATATCATTGTAGAAAATATGACACGAAAATAATGATTAACAATTACAATATTTTTTTTAATTGTAATTGAATATATAAAACTCAATGAGCATTGACGTGGTCCATGCTGGTGGTGATGCAATTGTACAAATAAAACTCTGAAAACTACACCTACCTAAAGCTTTATTTGTCTGGATCATTTCAGAATTATATATAGAGTGCCATAAAAAGATTCGTTCATTGGAAAAATAGGACAAATGCTTTACGGGCTGGGTCCATATCACTTGTTGATTTTCAATTCAAAAACAGAGCTGTTAAGAAGACGGGGCCTATACGGTTGGGATATCCGACTCCGTGACATAGTTAATATCAAGTCATCCTACTTACCGAAAAAAAAATATATATGTATATATATAATATATATCAAGACATCATTGTTAATATCATGTTATCAATATAATAAGAGCATTAAAATAAGACACTTGGAGTCTGAGGCGACTTGCACTTTTCTAAGGTTTCAAAAATATTTTTATTTATCTGTCGTATTACTTTCTTAAAAACTTCATTTTCTTATAATATTAGAACTTAATCCATACTTCCATGAAAGACCTTAATTTTTTTTTTTTTTTTAATTTTCTTACATTATTACCTCGTTAAAATTTTTATTTCCTTATATTATTAGACCCCAAATAACAAAGATTTAATCTGGGCCCAAAGAATTTAATTCTTTCTGAAAATTTTCTTCCTCTTTCTATCTACGTTTGGTGTGCAGGAATGGAATGGAATGGAATGCCCATTCCAATTATTCCTTTGTTTGGTATTGAGGAGGCCCCGGACGACATGGGCCGGATCCGACTCGCAAACATAACATTCAGTTCATACAGCTGGGTCGGCCCATATAAAGACACTGCCATATGGGCCGAACGGGAGTAAGCCCATCAAAGGTGACCAAGGCTTATGGAGGAATAGGCCCAGATCCAACAATCAGTAAATATCTTGTAAATATCTTGTAAATATCTATAAATAGGATATGGAATGGAAAGGAGAGGGATCTTTTTGGGTTGAGGTGTAAGAATTCTAGAGAGAGAAAGAGGAGAAGGAATTTCTTGCATCTTCAATTGGCGCCGTCTGTGGGAAACGCATGGAAGTTTGGTTGATCAATGAGGAATATCGAATGGATTCAAACCAATTCGGTTGATCGAGACTCGATCTTTGGGATTTGAATCCAGATCTGAGCGATTGTGACCTACTCTGGAGGAATTACAATTCTTGAAGCTTTGGCAGGAGTGACTTCAGATCTACACAACAACGAGTTGTTCGATTGTGGCAGGATCTGACGGATTTAGAGTTCAGACAATTCAGATCTCGTAAACAGTGAGCATAATTCGGAGAATTAGAAGCCAGATCTAAAAATTCCTACTCACGAAGCTCGGATCTACTCGCGAACTTGAGATTAATGCCTTTACTCCGTTCGGGAATAATGATAGGTGAAAGCTCCAATCCGATGGAGGCTGTCCAGCAAACAAAGCTTGAGGAGTTGATGAACTTGATTGAAGCTCTCAAGAAAGAGAATGCAGAATTGAAAGCTGGACTGCAACATCGGCAAATACCTGCGGTTTCGCATCCACTTCCAGTCGGAGAAGGAGGTGTTCAATCTAATATCGCGCATCAAGGCGAACAGGACGAGAACAATCAGTCAGCTCACCACCGTGATGAAAGGATGATGGACAATTTGCCGCCAAATGTTCGTCGAGTTGAAGATCACGAAGGATCGACTCACGTTGATCCGCAGCGGGAAAGGTTCGACCGAGAGGAAGTGATGGAGGCTGATCGCCGTCGAATAGCGTCGCCTTGGCAAAGAGAGTTCATAGAGGAACGGTCGTTCGATCCGTCTTACCGGCCCTCCATGGTTACTATCACTCATCACGGTTCGGAGGGCAGAACCGTAACTCACAGAGCTACCGCTGGACTCCAGAGAGAGAATGAAGCTCTCCGATCCGCAGCTCGAACGGTGGATTCACCATTCACCGACGAGATCTTGAATGCCCCGCATCCAAGGAAGTTTGCTATGCCAGTCTTTATTCTGTTCGACGAAACGACCGATCCGATCGATCATGTGTATCATATCTAGTTGAAAATGGCCCTGAATACGGAAAACGACTCTTTAATGTGCAAATGTTTCCCTACAAGCCTGGCCGGACCGGCGCTCAGCTGGTTCAAAAACTTGCCTAGGAGCTCCATTGGTAGTTTCAGAGACCTGTGCGATCGGTTCATAAGCCAGTACTATGGGAACAAACGCCCGCCGAAGGACATCTCGAGCCTATTCACGATGAGGCAGCACAAGGATGAACGTCTCCAGGCCTTTCTTACCAGGTTTAATCTCACTAAGAGTATGGTGATCGAATGCCACCCTTCTACAGCAGTTCAAGCCTTCAAGTTAGCCATGACACGCGGAACTCCGTTTCACACCAGTCTGGCAGTGAACACGCCGACTACTATGGATGAACTCAATGAGAGAGCCGATGGCTTTGTGCGCCTAGAAGAAGAGGAGGCAGCTAATGCTCGGACAACGTCGCTTGTGTCGACCGAGGAAAAGTCCAAGGCAAAGATCAGGCAGAAGCAGGCTCAGCCGCAACGTCAGACCTCTTGGAAGGCAGAAAAAAGGTCCAGGGAGGAAGAGTTGATTACTCCACTGAAGGTCACTCTGGCGAGGCTGTATCAGGAGAACAAAGACAAGTTTCATCCACCACTGCCAATTAAGCAACCCCTCGAACAGAGGGATCAAACTAAACATTGTGCTTTTCATTCTGATTTCGGTCATCAGACTAACGAATGCAGGAACCTGAGGAGGCAAGTGGAGATGTTGATAGCTAGAGGGGAGTTCGCGAGTTATGGTCAAGGTTCGGCGATGGAGCAGAATCGACCGGTGGAACAAATAAAAAGGAGTCATAAACAAAGC